GATTGAAAAAATTGTATCATTAATAAAACTAAAGGTAATTATTTAGAAAGCGGACAGTATCACCGATTTCGATCATTTTTAAATATGTTGCAAAAATCAACACTTTGAACATCATTTTCCTATACATGTATAGGAAATGTATGATACTATACACGATACTAGCCCTAACCTGCACAGCACATTGCCTATTACAAAATACATATGTACAAGTATTGCTACGAAATGAATTACCTAAAATACTATCGAGTGGTATTGTATTACAAACAAGAAAATAACGGTTTTTAGATAAATATATATGTGTAAATTTAGTAGCGGCTATAACGAAACAGGAACTTTTATTTTATATATATGCGACACTGTAGTCCTTATGGAAGAGCCGCCACTGGTGTCATTGTGTATATTTCAGATGTTTTGTATTTGTTTAAAACTAAAATTTACAAGATTATTAACATTACTGTTAACAGCGTTTATACAGGGCGTTCCAGTTTTTCCAGCCAAACTTTGGCAGCATGTTGTATGCGTATAAATAAGAAAAAAATATATGAACATAGGTCGTTTGAACCTTTATTAAAAAGTTATAACAAGTATAAGAAATGCGAAGGGAACAGTAAATTACTACAATACAATCCATTCTTGCATAAAGTACAACTTGCTTTATGTTGATTTGCGAATTATAATTGAAAATGCGAGGCACTCATTGTGTTAATGTCGTGACCTCAGATACTTAATATTCCGGTTTCAACGATGCAATTTCATTAGCATGGAATAAATTCTTATATAATAAACTATTTGAAAATGGTTTAAATTTATTATTATTCCTTTAGTAGCGTGATAGAAGATTATTCTACTAGAATAAAATTTGAAAGTTGCAATATGTTTGCTTTGAAATTTAATGCAGTTACGTTAATACAATATTGTATTATTGATTATTATTAATTACCTACTTATTCATTCTACTACATGAAACTCAGTAGAAGAACAAAACTATTACTTGTAAATTAATAACAATAGATCTTGTGCATATATTGTAAACAAATATTTTTATTATTAAACTATTATTACAAATAATTTATGCTTTTTAATCAAATTTGCAGAAGTGTATTAGATAAATTAAAATTATAAAATGTAAAAGTACAATATAATACATAATAATTGATTAGTCAAGAATTTGTTATACTCGTTTCCTACCACGGATAAAAAAAATTTAATTTCCTTACGATTCATACTTTAGTTAAATTATTGTGTAGTTCGAAATTGTTTTATTTAATAGAGCAAAAGTCTAGCTGAAAAAGCATTTACGAAAATGTGACCTTTGAATTTTATTTCAAATGAAAGCGAAAGTTACTTTTGGTAATGGAAGCGATTTTCATTTTCTTTTTTTTTTGTGTAATTTCGTATACTCCTAATAGAATGCGAAACGAAATTTGTATTCGGTTATAAATTTTCTCGCCTTAGGTTGCATCTATCTTTGTCAAAATGCCTATAAAATTGCGGTCACCAAGGAGTTTCATAAGTTCAAGGAACTACGGTAAAACCAGTTAATATGCCCCAGTTGCCACAAAGAAACGTATACCGTTACATGTAAAGATTATACTGTTTTTACCGCCAAATATTTATGAAATACTTATACAAGTATCTACGGGAAAAATTGCATCTTCGAAAAGCGTCTAACGGTAGGCGTACAAGCACAAGATCGAATGTACAATTCTGTAAATAATTAAAGCACCGTGTTATTTCTTTTATAAGAATTTAATACGAGGTATAATTTCCGAGTTTATATTACATTCGTTATTTTGAATTAGCATGTAGAGTAATCATTGACAAAATTATTTTGCGCATTACCAAATAGAAATTAAGTGGATATTTCATAGATCTTTCTAATCTTAAAGGTGTCAAGTGGAAAATTTTCTAACGAGGATTTCTCGTTACAGAACCCAAAATAACGTTGGGGCTGACGAGCTTATTTCGGATAAGCATGTGATTCCGGGTTATTAACTAACGGTTAAGAGAAAATGTTCAATAACCAGTGTATTAGCTAAATGTGGAAGTCTATCAAGCACGCACACACTTTCTATTACATCCGACGTAATCGTACAAGAGTAACACAATCATTTTCTACTCTACGACAGACTTTCATATTTCTTAGACTTCAGCCTCAACTTTTGACATCCCTTATACAGCGAAGAATTCTATGTTTATTTAGGAATATTTGATTATCTCCTATGTGATATTTACCTAAATAGCAATATTTCATTATATTGTTGATCAAATGTGAAATATTGAAGTGAAACTCTTGCAATTTTTATACACTTATTTCTATGAAATATATCCTTTCGCAATGTAATTCATAAGCTGCAATTATAGGTTAGGTGCTACACCAAAAATAATGTAGAACATTCAGTGTGATTTATATATAGCATGAACTACCTTAAAACATTCGTCACGTTCACCTATAAGAAAGATCACGATTATATAAGAATGCAAAGTGCATGTTCGTTTAACAACACTTCTATCATTTGTATTATTTAAATAAATAAAAATCTACGAAAGGTATAGTTACAAAGTAGAGTATGTAGGCGCGTGACATTACTTTTATTTAAAATATATATTTCAATTATAACGCTATTCATAACAAAATATAAAAAAATCATTTTGTCATCATTTTTAAACCTTTACTTTAAACTCTTGTTTATATACGAAGAACAATAGTTACCTGTATCAACAAAATTATCACAAATATACACGAATTATTTCTTCATAGTGGGTATACTTAATCTATAAATTAAAAAATTCGTAATAAAATAAAAATTCATTTTTCTTCAAATTCCTTTGAGAGTGTTTCATTTTATAGTACTAAACGTACTCTTTACAAACTATTCTATGATTTAGATATTTTGTATGAATCGATCGTATCTTCCATTCAATTCATTTTCGTTTTCAGTTAATTAAATACTTATGTTAGAAGATGTTCATCGATTACACCTATTTTTTTTTTTTGTTAGATACCTGTACAAGAAAATTGGTTATAATATTGATAATATTAAAGTGTATTCGTGTAAACAGAAAATGGACATAATACGTGAAACAAAATAAAAAAAACCATACAGTATAGGAATCTCATGAAAGATGGATTTCCCTATGGCGTACCGGTTTTTACCATCATACGAACAAAAGAAAATGACCTTTCTAAATGAGGAAATAATTTTGTTGTTTGCGCGTATAACTATTTTGCAACATGGTAAGATATAACTATTTAATGCATCTTTTTATAGGTATCAAGCAAGCGAATATAAATTTTCATACAGTAATTATTAATAAATAATTCATTGGAATAATTAATTTTCCAATGAAATAAGTTTCCCTTCTTTAACTAACTTCGAAATATAACTCAGACTAAAACCACTCGTTACACTAAGAATTAGAATTATCGCGATGATAATTTTTTAGTGAAATATAACATTTAGTACAATGTAAAACCAGATTCAGTTAGAAGTATTCGATTAATAAGAGATATCGGCATAATAACTTCTTGTATATTTAAAAAAAACCATGGTATTAGATAATCTTTTAAGTCGTAATCCGATTACTAATACATACCTTAAAAGTGTTGGTATCGAAAAGCGAAACTTAGAAATTTAGTCACCTGCTGGGTGTAAATAATTAATAATTGATGAGTTACTCTGCTAGAATGTGTATAGATCGACAAGTTTAACAAAGTCCTTTGGGGAAATATGTTAAACGCAAAATGTGCTGATCGAAATGAAATTTGATAATTAACTTTTCATTTGTCTTTGTCATTTATATTCTTCGTTATCTTGTAAAATTATGCAATAGTGAATTGTAACGCTAAAAGTACACTGCTACTACTTCGAGATCAAATAATCTAGGCTGAGGTAAGGAGTTGAAGTGCTGTAAAAACAACTTTCTCCACATTTCTTGTCAAATAAAACATTTGAGAATATTACTAAGAACAAACTAAAGGAAAATGAGGGCTTATGGGAACGTATGGCAGACAGGAAAAGCAACGAGACTACCGTTCTCCTAACTCAAGAATTTCCTATTCAAGAAAGCATAATTTACAATCAAGTAACGGAAATGACACATTGATATACTTTGCTGGATCCATTCCATTAAATTTCAAATTTCCGTCAAAAAGATACACGTGAATCATTTTTCTGAGGATCGTCAATTAAAGAGTGTTATTAACAATAGGATATTATCAACAAACAACAATGTAAAACGAAATCAACTGTACATTAATATTGAAATTCTCCCTTAAAATATCGATTATAATTTAGTGCCAATTTATTGATAAATTTATATTTATTATTTGAATTTTTTAATGATTTCTTGCTAATCAATCGTTAATTAAATTTATTAATCGAACATTTGGAGATTCAATTTATCTAGTTGTATTACTTTTACTTGTTCTAATAAAATATGCAAAATATTTAAACTCACGTAAAAATAACATAGAGGTAATATGTATTTTTATTAATATTTACATTAACATAAATCTTTATATTTTAACGCAGCACATTTATTCGTGATACAATATTTTTTTCGATATAACATCAATTTAATATTTCACGATTACTTATCTTTTATACCATACATATTTGCTCTTTATTGTATCAAATATATTGAATGCCTTTTTACTAAATAAATTCATTGATAAGAAGAAACTAAAATTCTGATGCGTACAACGAACATTTATACAAATGTGACTTTTTTTTAACTATACTTCTTTATAAAAATAAATGTTACATGTTGATGGAATTAAAAATGGATTAATATGTTTCACTTCTGTATTTGAAGTTTCGCGCAGATAAAGTCTCTTAATCATCACGAATCAAACTTAAAAGTTTGACGAATCTTTCACGAAGTTTTCACGAATCAGAATAAAAGTCACAAATCAAACTTAAGCCACTGTGTAATTATTGTTACAGCAAAAGCCAACAATAGCTTACGTCTGTGCAATTAAATGTTACAATACTTACGCGATCATTATTGCAAATTACGTTGGTCCCATTTTCCGCATTACCGGCTGAAATCTTCGAAACCATAGCTGACATATTCGAACAATCTCTTGCTGTCAACAATTCTGGTATCAATCATTAAACCCAATGTAGACATGCAACGATGATTTGCATGCACCTACTTCCGAAGAAAATCAACGTAACCCCGTTTCGAGTTCTCAATGATTACCGAAAATTTCACTTTTATTATGCTTGCATGCATGCACTATTTACAGAATGTCACAAACGATCGGCAAACGTGTATAAAATCAATAGTTCATATCCATCGAGCGTGTTGTGAAATAGGTTTATGTAAAGAACAATTATGTTTTTCTTCAGCGTCGTGCAATACAGCAGTCCTCTAATTATCTATTTATTTAACGGCGAATGATTCGTACACTCGCGGGCAAACATCGACCGATCACAAGCGGGTCGTTCGAAACCGAAGAAAAACTCGTTGAACGAAAAAAGAAACCAGCGTATACCGCTCGAAGCGTGGAAATAAGGACCCACGTGTGCACACGAACTATAAAGCGATGTTAGTATGGTCGCGTACTAAAGCGGAATACCTACGAGCGCACCGGTGTGTTTGCTAGACCGATCATGCAAGCCGATCTCCCTCCATCGTTTCACAACCAACCGTCCAAATACCGGTACCAAGAGACGCTTTTTCCTCATCTCAAACTTTACACTATCGAACTTTATCTCTGATGTAAGATTTGGAAAAATGATGAACTTTTTTTGTTTCAGTTTAGTTTGAATTATGAAGACAGAAATTAAGTATTCAATGAGTAAAAATAACAGAGCAGATAGTCGATAAATAACCAGTAATCAGAAAAATAAAATGAAATAATTAATCTAGAACATACGTATCATGGTACACGCGAATTCTTTTAAGTTTGTTACTTGCAATTTATTTAATGCCACATTATAATATTTTGTTCCCTATTCCTTCAACACAGAATATATCAAGTATTTTGATAAAAGTTGTTTTTAGAGGAAATTCGATGTATAAAAATATCGAAAATATGTAAATTTTAAGTAAGGTTAGGTTATTTACAGAAGGATACTTCGTACAATACATTCAAGTCAAATTTCAAAGTAATTCACTATCACAATTAAATTTAATGACTGCAATTTTATACTCATTGTAATAAATATTTTTTCCATATACAAATTTTATTTTTAACAATTTGTTCTAATTACTGTTAAAACCAAAAATACACGCGAGCGCGCGCGTATTTGTGAAATCTTAAATCTGCCCTGATTTCTCTCGCAATTATTTCCGGTACATAAATGTACACTTACTTAAATGCTAATAGGTTGTTATGAATGAATAAGAAAATGCTTTACGGTCAGTCTGCAGTTTTTTAATTACATTGTGAAATTCGTGAATCAATAAAATACGTTTAGTGTTTATTAGATTTGCCTTCATCTACTTACAGTTGATATTAAACTCTTGTAGAGACATATGCATAACTCTCTGTTGTAAACTATGTATTATATAAAATCATTATTTTTAATTATTATAAATCATTCGTAATTGAGCAATATTATTTTTTAAATAGGTGCGATAATATTTTACAACTTTGAAACGATAACCAGTAGTATAATTATACTTGTATTTATTAAAATAAATTTGAAAATAACCTTTTAATATACAAAATTCCAAAAAAAATGGTTTTATTTTAATCATTTTATTATTTGATTTCAAAAGTACTAATATAAACACATGTATTGAGAAGAAAAAGATGTATAAACATGCAAAACTTTACAACAAATAAAATTGATCTACGATGTTTTCTTTTTTTCGGATTACTATTATGAATTAACACATTTTTAATCTAATGGTGGTAAAATATAGTACATACAATTAATAATTTTCATTAACAATCTAAGTAACAAAAAGAACAAAGAATAATGTTTCTAAAACTCAAAGCAATTGTTACAAAAAAATGAGTAACTCAAAAATTCCCGCGTTTATACAACTGCCTATGGAAGAAAACAATGTCTTATACATAGCAAACAGTTTCTCAATGAAAGTGACATATTTCTGGCATCAATCTCGGGAGACTTACATGATTGCGATGAAATTTTTTTTCATTGGTTGAAAGACTTTAACATAACGTAATAAAAAGTTTTAAAGAAACTAATAATTTGATAAGAATATAAATATAAATTTTTGTATTTTTCTAAATTA